CATTATCACCTAAAGGTTCGAACCTAGAATCACTCCCTACTTCCTTTTAACCTCACTATCTCAATTATACGTGTGCATTAAACCAATATGAATGAAGAATGGGTTGGCCACAATAGAAGATCCATGGGTTTGGGAACAGAATGTGCATTCCACCACGTAGCACCCATTCTACGTAGAGTACCCGGGGTTCTCAGTCAAATATAAATAATGTAAGCATGGGTGACCAAGAAAACGAGTATAAAGGGGTGTTTTTTTAATAGATTGAACGCGGTGCCGCCATTAGCGAGCTTTAGAGTCTGACACCGAACGACCTCGACTACGAGTGACGTCATTGTTATGCTCGTCGTTCAAAGACACCACATTTACCAGTCGAAAATGAGAAAAGGGGAACCAAAATATTAAAGGCCAAAGGGCCTTGTAAAATAAGTTCCCTAAAAGTATAAATTATCATTTGGTTTTTCAACTTATTCTGTTACTGAAAGACATGTAAACAAACTTAAAACAAACAGTGGATAAAAAAATTAAAAATTAAAAATTAAAAAAGCCAGGGGGAACAGCAAAGTCTGAAATATGGTTGTGTTTTATGTCAGTATTTGGACAAATAATACATTTTCAGATATTTTTTGAATAATCTTTGGTTATTGCAAAGGGGAATATATTTTGGTAATGAATTCCAAATCACCGGGAGATTACACCGAGGAGATTTTTCTTCATACATAAACATAATTTTCCAACGATGAAAATTGGTTCGATTTCTTGTGATATAATTATGAATACTAAGATTCGTAGGGAACATGTTCGAAATAGTATTTGGAAGAAGATTATGAAAATAAAGTAACCCTAGCACTGATGTATGATACTGGGATAAATCAAATATATTCAAGGTTTTGAGCTTGATAAAAAGAGCGTCACCTGTGCAGAAAACTCCTAATTTTCGTAAAAAAGGGAAATTAAATAGGTTGAAGTGACGGCTGGCTTCCGCATTTGTGTCCAGCTCGTTATCGTAGTCGTGTGATCACTTCAAGATAGGCCTAACATTTGCCCGACTCCCGTTGTGTCAATTCACAGACGACAAAGCAGTTCCTCAAAATGACGTCACTCGTAGTAGAGGTCGTTCGGTGTCGAGAATCTAAACCTCGCTGTTTAGGGGTTCAAAAACGTCCATTTTCGGTCATTTTCAAGAAAAAGGGTACTTTTTCAAAATGGTTCAATATCCTGCTGTAGGCCTACTCGCGTGTTTAAGGGTATATTTCGAGACCTCATGGCCAGACCCGGGGGGGGGGGATGGGGGGGGGGGGGGTTAATAATTGCCCATTGGCGAGACTACCGGCCGCCCCCTAGTTATAGCAAAGATGATAGATGTGCGGCGTCTTTGGTTATAGTGTGGACGACGGCGAGTCCGTAGCATTACATGGTATCCATACAGTAATAGTCTGATTTTCAGACCCTTGTAGCGAATGGTCGTACGTTTTTTGCTGCGCAAATATTACAAGAAGTGGGTAAATGTAATGCTGATGTATCCTTTTCAGCTCATTTTCTGTATGTTATTACCAACGGAAAAAAGAAGTCAGTCAGTCACTCGATAGCGCCTGGCAGTGAAGTTTAGAAAATTCCTCGCATAATTTGTATATTAAGACATTAGGAGAACACTTATTTGAAATACCCGGTTAGGGTGTGAATTCAGGAAAAAAACACACGAAATCCTCATTTAGGGTGTATTTTGGCTTCAAAAGAAATCCTCGTTTAGGATATGTCTGGTAAACCTGTGGTCGCGCATGCTTACAATATTTCTACATGACTGAGATCCCCAGGGTAGAGTTGTGACATCATCCTATTTAAACTGAGGGTAGGTTTAGGAGCTTTTCTACATTGGATCACAGCTTCTAATCCTTTTAAAATAATTTTGCATTGCGATGGAATAACAGTAACACCAATTAAAAAAGATTGAATGAAGATTTTTACATTCGAAAATATTGACATTCTGCTTGCTAGTCTTCTCACACCGGTTCTTTTCTCTGAAGCATGGCTAACAAGGTTTGTAAATTTTAGACCAGCAATATCAAGGATTTATCATCCTTTGAACATTATCACACTTTCAGGCCCGAATTCACAAAGGAGGTTTGTCGACAAACCTAGGTTTATGTGCGTCATATCACGCGTTTCAAATAAACTTAGGTTTGTCGACAAACCTCCTTTGAAAATTCGGGCCTCAGAGTTTGAGAATCAGGAACTTAAACTTAAATGCATACACAAATACTCGTCTCCTCAACTGGAAAGGGATATGATAAACAAATACGATGGAAAATGTTAGCCTGCGCAAGGAACAGAAATAGCCATTATTAATTAACGGATAAATGGTATAATTTTAACTGTACATGTATAATATAATTCTACATGATGTTTAGTCGGAGGCAAGATCTGGTAAGGGTATGAGCAAAGTAGCTTTGAAATGCCCAGTTTCCCCTTCTCCTCTCCTACCATATATACAATTATTATTATTTTATATCAAACTTGAAGCAGGATATATATTTGCATCAAGTTTTAGTTTCTGTACATTTCTTGAAAAACATAATTTACAACAAATTTAATAGGCTAATTCTTGTTTGTGCTTTACACCTGCTTGGTTTGAGTATCTGAGGTGGTAATCGCAGAGCGACTAGATAAAAAGATCATTCTTTATCCTTTTCAATCTTTATACTATTATTTAGATATTTTGACATATTATCACACATAATTGTGCAAGATTCAATACATGTCTTAATTGGTGGATACATGTATTTAAGAGTAAATCACCACGATCTTGAATCTTGGATTCTTTTCCTCCTAAATACTCCGAAGAAGAGTTTTGACTGGAGGTGGTGGAGGGTGGACGATTACATTTTGGAAAAAAGTTCTTTAGTAACTGCATTTTTAAATGATGACTACGTGATTAACCAAATAAAGAAGAAATATAATTCAAATATGATAATCAGGAATATGGAGCATTCACAGCAAAATAGAAGTGGAATGGGGAGACAGACAAAAACAGGTGCGGTGAGGAAATAAGAGAAAGAGGAATGAAAAGAGAGTAGAGAGACAGAGGGATAAATAAATAAAGGCAAGAGCAGTAAATAGATGAAGTTTGTGTGTGTGTGTGTGTGTGCGTGTGTGTGTGTGGTGCGTGTGCGTGTGTGTATGTGTACGCGCGCGCGCGCGTGTGGTTGATGTTGATTTTGATGAGGTTGTTGTTAAAGTTAAAATATTTATTTTCAAAAATTTAGGTAAAAATATACAGTTTTTGCTTGTGGATTCGAGAAAAATGTATGATTATTTTATAAAAAGTACTACAGCAAACGTATGATTTGCATGTAAGGGATGGGCAAAATAATTATGATTTGTATAGATAAATAATTCAAAGAAATATTTGTTAGATCAAAAATTACTATACTCATTACAAAACAACGAGAATTTCAATTTAGATCATTGCATGGAGCCATATATACTAATGAGCATCTTCATAGATTTGGTTTTGTTGGTAATAGATGAAATTAAAGATTAAGAATGGCGAAATATATTTGTTGGGTTGACAGGTAGTTCATATAGAATAAAAAATCTTTAATATCATAATTTTCATGGTGAAGTATGTTATATTTATGTCAAGGTCGTCGGTGGGGGGGGGGGGGCAAGTAGCAACATTAGAAAAGATGAAGAAAACTATTTTGAGTTATAGGGATGAGGACAGAAAAATAGCCATTAGAATGGGAAAGATGGGATTACATTTTCTTAAGTGGGAGCATCTTAGTGTTAGGTATTAAAGATTTGTTTCTTCTCTCCACTGTGAGCTTGTTAAAATGTAACTCTATTTTGCAGCCTGGTTAACTTACATATTTAGTATATTTCTTGAGTTGAGAATGTTAGCAGATATCCACTGAGGGAGTTATATATACTGCAAATTAGATTTTGTTTAATTTTGTATATGTTTAAGCAATTCATATTGAAAACGTTTATTTATTTTACTCAATTGTATGTTGTTCTTGTTTGTATAACATTTGGAAGAATGAAACAAAATTACATAACAAAATTAAAATTGAAAAATTAAAAAGTGCGTGTGTGTGTGTGTGTGCACGGTTGTGTGTATGTGTTTGATTGTTTTTCAAAAAAGGAGCCCGATCGATGAATATTATTACTACCAGGTGTCTCTCGTCACTGACAACGATTTTTAATTGATTTTTTAATGCGTATTATAGTGCAAAATAAATGGCTTTGATTTCATTTTAATTAATTAGATTTGACTTAATATAAGGTTGGCCAGGTAAAGAGATAGTAAAGTTTTGGACTTGTCATTTTATTGTAAAAGAATCTGCCTTGGAACAAAAAGTGGTAACAGTTCAACAAGTATATGGATCATAATAATTGGCGTATACTGTTAGGCTTTGGGTTCATCAAAATAAGTGGAAATTGACTGCATCTTGCTAAAGTCACGTGTACTTCAAACATAATTAGGTATATTGGACTACACACACATATTACATGAGAGTTTGGTCCAAACTGTTCAGCTGTTTCTCGTGATATTTACAATATGAGACCATTCGACATTTCATACGGCAACTCTACGGGTAAAGTCGAGCAAACTCACTTAATTCTTTGAGGGAGCCAATTTAATAACATTCTCTACAAGTTGACTCTACTAATTATTCTTAAGTGGTAAATTGACTTTGATCATGTGACGATTCGCGAAAATTTTGTTAACTTAAATTTTGTAGGCCTATGAGATCAGATAAATGAAATTCAAAATATTTGTAAGCATATTTCGTTTCTACAGTATGTAAGTCTTGGAAATAAAGCCAGAATATAGACGTATAAACATGTACTGTTCCAAATCGGATCGCCATGGTTTCACATTATCTCACAGTAATATTGAATTAAATGTAAATATAAATTAATAAGAGCTATTTTTGAGGATATGCGATACATCATAATGTAAGGCATTGGAAGAGAAAAAGACATTCATGACGAAAAAAATGGCCTACATTCAAAAGAAAGAGGCGGGAACCGATGAAGAAGTAAGGATATGTGTTGGCAGAAGATGCACTATCCACGCAGTACGTATTGGAGATTGGAGGGAGAGGTAAAAAATAATGTCTAGTTTTTGTCTCTGTCTCCCTCTGCCCACCCCCTTGATAGGGAACGAAATGACATCATCAACGCTACATTAATGACCTGTCTGTCAGCACACACATATATATTGTCAACAAAGTCTTATATTACAAATGACGGACAATGTTCAACCTGCTTAAACACAATTAATTAAATGATTTATGCACCGCAAAGTGCCTGGAGATACAGCTCACCATTAAGATGATCGATAACAATTTCCCCCAAAAAATGATGAATCAAAATGAAACTTGATGCAAGATTAATTCACAATTATGGCCGTGGGCACGATAGCCAAGCTGGATAATTTCTTTACAAATCTAATGTTCCTTCATACTGGAGTAATTTTTTTATAAAGTTTCATGTTATCATAGACGTTCCAGTAGTATGCGCTATAAAAGAATCATTATTGTAGCATTCAATTGCAAAGGTATGATGGAATGCGAACAGGATCTGAAATGAGACAGATATCAATCTCTAATTTACCGTCATAATCACTTTAATGTAATTCTTTAAAATTAACATTATGATGTCGAACGTGTAAACACAATAGGAATCAAATTAAGAGACATATTTTGTTGCAGGCCTAGTACTCCATCGCAATTCTATCTATGACGTATATGCTGTTCCATATTCGGTTTTGGCTTCAAATATTCCAATATTTACTCCTAATTGTTAATTGATAGAGCGAAATGGCAGATCGAACATAATTATATCCCTCCAATATCCCATATTCAGACATATCAAAAAAAATACTCAAGGCATCGCAAAGTTTTATAATTACCCTGGCTTTGGCCCTGCTGTCAAAAGGCCCTGAAATCATTCGGGGAAGACCTCCTACCACGTTTCCATGAACTACACCACGGTGGAGAGTGGCAAATGTAGATTAATGTCTTGAAAAAGGAGAAGAGTACCTGGATGGGAACCGAACCACGAGCAATGTGACCTAAATCACCACCCGGTCACGTACCGCTAAACCCCACGACACATATACAGACCATGACATCAATGTCAAAATATGTAGCAGGACTTAATATCTACCATGACGTCTTCATGAATATTGATAACCATTGAGGTGTTTTGGGATTACAGGTTCATTCAACTACTTTCAATCCAAGGGTTGGGGTTGGAGTCTCAGCCCAGCACTGACATGAATTCGCTATCAAATCAAACGATAAAACAATGGACTTATGCACATAGACGGGTATTGAATTATAATTCTATATTATGTTTTCTCTGAGGCAAGATCTGGTACGGATATGAGCTTGATACTGAAATACTAGATTTGGTCGGTAACAGACATGTGTATGAGACAAAGTATCCTTGAAATGCCCAGCCCCCCTTCTCTCCTCCCATATAAAACATTATTGTTTAAATCTTATTTAACTTGATTTCGAATATATATATTTTGCATCAAGTTTTAGTTTCTGTACATTTCTTGAAAAACATGATTTACAGCATATTTAATAGGCCAACTCTTGTTTATGCTTTACACCTGCTGGGTTTGAGTATCTGAGGTGGTAATCGTAGAGCGACTAGATAAAAAGATAATTCTTTATCCTTTTTAATCTATATACTATTATTTAGATATTTTGACATATTATCACACATGAGTATGCAAGATTCAATACATTTCTTAATTGGTGAATACATGTATTTAAGAGTAAATCACCACGATGACTACGTGGTAAACCAAATAAAAAAAAATATATAATTCAAATATGATAATCAGGAATATAGAACATTCACAGCAAAGCAGAACTGGAATGGGGAGACAGACAAAAACAGGAGCGGTGAGGAAATAAGAGAAAGAGGAATAAAAAGAGAGTAGAGAGACAGAGGGATAAATAAATAAAGGCAAGAGCAGTAAAGAGATGAAGTTTGTGTGTGTGTGTGCGTGTGTGTGTGTGTGTGTGTGTGTGTGTGTATGTGGTTGATGTTGATGAGGTTGATGTTAAAGTTAAAATATTTATTTTCAAAAATTTAGGTAAAAATATACAGTTTTTGCTTGTGGATTCGAGAAAAATGTATGATTATTTTATAAAAAGTACTACAGCAAACGTATGATTTGCATGTAAGGGATAGGCAAAATAATTATGATTTGTATAAGATAATGAATTCAAAGGAATATTTGTTAGATAAAAAATTACTATACTCATTACAAAACAACGAGAATTTCAATTTAGATCATTGCGTGGAGCCATATATACTAATGAGCATCTTCATAGATTTGGTTTTTATTGGTAATAGATGAAATTAAAGATTAAGAATGGCGAAATATATTTGTTGGGTTGACAGGTAGTTCATATAGAATAAAAATCTTGAATATCATAATTTTCATGGTGAAGTATGTTTATATTTATGTCAAGGTCGTCGGTGGGGGGGGGGGGGGTGGGGGGGAGTAGCAACATTAGAAAAGATGAAGAAAACTATTTTGAGTTATAGGGATGAGGACAGGAAAATAGCCATTAGAATGGGAAAGATGGGATTACATTTACTTAAGTGGGAGCATCTTAGTGTTAGGTATTAAAGATTTGTTTCTTCTCTCTACTGTGAGCTTGTTAAAATGTAACTCTATTTTGCAGCCTGGTTAACTTACTTATTTAGTATATTTCTTGAGTTGAGAATGTTAGCAGATATCCACTGAGGGAGTTATATCTACTGCAAATTAGATTTTGTTTAATTTTGTATATGTTTAAGCAGTTAATATTGAAAACGTATATTTATGTTATTTAATTGTGTGTTGTTCTTGTTTGTATAATATTTGGAAGAATGAAACAAAATTACATAAAAAAAACAAAATTAAAACATTAAAAGTGTGTGTGTGTGCACGGTTGTGTGTATGTGTTTGATTGTTTTTCAAAAAGGGAGCCCGATTGATGAATATTATTACTACCAGGTGTCTCTCGTCACTGACAAAGATTTTCAATTGATTTTGTATGCGTATTATAGTGCATAACAAATGACTTTGATTTCATTTTATTTAATTAGATTTGACTTATAAGGTTGGCCAGGTAAAGAGATAGTGAATTTTTGGACTTGTCATTGTATTGTAAAAGAATCTGCCTTGGAACAAAAAGTGGTAACAGTTCAACAAGTATATGGATCATGATAATAGCGTATACTGTTAGGCTTTGGGTTCGTCTAAATATGTCGAAATTGACTGCATCTTGCTAAAGTCACGTGTACTTCAAACATAATTAGGTATATTGGACTACACACACATATTACATGAGAGTTTGGTCCAAACTGTTCAGCTGTTTCTCGTGATATTAACAATATGAGACCATTCGGAATCTCATTCTTCATGAAGAAGTGAGGACCTGTTGGTGAAAGATGCACTATCCAAGCAGTACGTATTGGAGAAGAGGGAGAGGTAAAAAATAATTTCTAGTCTCCGTCTCCCTCTGCCCTCCCCCTCCCCGTCTCTCTCTCTCTCTCTCACTCACTCCTCTCTCTATCTCGCCCCCTCTCTGTAAATGAGATGCAATAATGACTTAATATTTATTGATAGGGAACGAAATGACATCATCAACAAGGTCTTATGTTACAAATGACGGACAATGTTAAACCTGTTTGAACACAATTAGTTCAATGATTTATGCACCGCTAAGTGCCAGGAGATACAGCTCACCAATAAGATTATCGATAACAATTCTCCCAAAAAATGATGAATTAAAATGAAACTTGATGCAAGATTAATTTACAGTTATGGCCATGGGCATGATAGCCAATCCGGATATTTTGTTTACAAATCTAGTTTTCTTTCATACTAGAATTTTTTTTTTTTTTTAGTATCATGTTATCATAGACATTCCAGTATTATATGCGCTGTAAAAGAATCATTATTGTAGCATTCAACTGCAAAGGTATGATGGAATGCGAACAGGATCTGAAATAAGACAGATATCAATCTCTAATTTACCGCCATATATCACTTTAATGTAATTCTTTAAAATCAATGTTATGATGCCGAATGTGTAAACATATAACAGGAATCAAATTAAGAGACATATTTTGTTGCAAGCCTAGTACTCTATGGCAATTCCATCTATTACGTATATGCTGTTCCAGATTCTGTTTTGGCTTCATATATTCCAATCTTTACTCCTAATCAGTAATTGATACAGCGAAATGGCAGATCGAACATAAATATACCCCTCCGGTATCCCATATTCAGATCCATCCTAGAAAATACTCAAGGCATCGCAAAGTTTTATAATTACCCTGGCTTTAGCCCCGCTGCCAAAACGCCCTGAAATCATTCGGGGAAGACTTCCTACCACGTTTCCATTAACTACACCTCGGTGGAGAGTGGCAAATGTAGATTAATGTCTTGCCATAGGACAAGAGTACCTGGATGGGACTCGAATCGCTAACCATGTGACCCAAATCACCGTCCGGTCACGTACCGATAAACCCAACGACACATGTACAGACCATTGTTTACGATATGTTTAGTAAAATGTGTCACTTAAAGATAATCCTCGTGTAATCATATGCTTTTGTAAATATATTAATTCAGATATCCTAATTTATATATAAATCTATGAACCGGGACCTACATAATACAAGCTTTGCTGTTTAGTAGATCCCCCACTTTATTGATTGATTTATATGATTGTATTCTCTGTTATAACTATTATCATGTACATTATGTTTTCTATGTTGTATGTTTAGTTATAATATTATAGTATTAATGACTGCTTTGAGAGAAATAGTTGTTTTTATACGCACGCCTCGGGCAATAGCACAATTCTAACCTTCCCGAGAGCGTATAAAAACAACTATTTCTCGAATATTAAAGCAGTCATTAATACTTTTATATGCCGAAAACAAAAGAGTCAACTAATGACACCACCTTGGCCTTTCTCTAGTTTATCTGCACGGTTGTTTTTTATGAGTGTATCTTTGAGAGTAGACTAGATCTAGATTCTAGTCTAAGCAAGATATTTTTACAATTTTGGGGGTGGGCCGGCCCTGTGGGGAAATAGGAGAACAACCTGCCTCTTCATATGACACCTCACTTATTGGGTATCACCTTCAGGATCACAACAGATAAAGGTTTGAATCTCGAATTGAAAAAAAAAAAAAAAAAAATTTGCATGGTCGCGCAATGCACGTAGCCTGCACGTAGACTGCATTGCGTACAATCTCCATGGGAATAATTTTAACACACAGCATCGGGTGCGCGATCAGACACCCTGACAACTAGATCTATTTTCGTCTAGAGTCTACGTCTATGCTTTTTCAGCAACTAAACGAACATGTTTATGGATAATTTCACGTACCCTTTTTGTTGTTCTTGCTGTCAGCGAGTCTTGCATTTGATAAGTTGAAATCTTGGGAGAGATTCTTGAGCCATTTTTGTCTTGTTTGGAATTGTCTTGTCTTGTATGAAAATACCGACCAATTCTTCGCACACGTACGGTATCCTCGATCGCTCAAACCATTTTTTAACATGTAAACCTATGGGGTAACCATGGAGACTGAACTATTTTCCCGGTAACCATGGTTACTGGGATTTTAGAACTGTTTTAACCATGGTTACAGAAATAGTTAAAGTTTATGAATGCAATTTCGACCAATCAGATGGCTGGATTTCTTAAGTGAGGTATATAATTACCATTATTCATTATGTTCAATTATGTTATCTTTGATAAAGTGGAATAAATAAACTTGAACTTGAACTTGAACCATGACATCAATTTCAAAAGATGTAGCAGGATGTTAATTCAATTACTTTTAATCCAAGGGTTGGGGGCAAAGGCGCCGGAAGTGGGGGGCAGGGGGGCAGTTGCCCCCCCCCCCCCAGTCAAAAAAGTGGGGGGGGGGCAAAACGCATTTTTGCCCCCCCCCCCCAAAAAAAAAAAAAAAAAAAAAAAAAAAAACGCCCCCCCTCCAAAAAAAAAAAAAAAAAACAGTAAAGGGGTAAACATGGTTTGTATTTTTAATCCAAAAGAACGTAACGATAATAAGAACCTGAATTAAATCACATATACAATTCCATTCAAAGAAAAAGGAAAGTTCACAGGAATTAAATTTCATAAACATTGCGCATGCCATCTATACGGTATTTTAAATGGAGGTCTCTATAATAGCGATACGCACATATCGTGGACATATTGTGCGAGAATGGGAAAGCGTGTCCGTTTTTTGTTATAGGGATAAGCCCCTGAACGCTGGCGTACTGATGGGGGGGGGTAATGTATTTCTTATTCGAAACAAGTGATTTACAAATGTTGATGTTGTGACATGATTTTCCGGCATTTTTTCTCCATTTTTTTTGTAAGTCATACCTTTTTATGCGTTTGTTG